GCGACACCAAATTTTGAGAACATCCACAAACAAAATGCTAATGTGTGACTCTTCAACAGACGAAACCATACCGGGTTGGTGTTGCTCGAACTCGTGAAGTTGTTTCTGGATGTACGATACGATACACAAATGAATTTGTGTCTGTCAATTTTCCACCCTACATCACAAAAGTACTTTATTCATACCTTACAGACCACTATTGTCTATTTTACCGTACAAATAGGCAACACACCCTCGATGGTTAACCAATTGATGGCGAGAGTACTGCAAGGTTCAATCCTTGGACCATCATTGTTTAACGTCTACATCCATGACATTCCCACTGACGCCAACACAACTCTACTGACGTTTGCTGGCGACACTGCCATTTTAAAAAAATCTAGATCGCCCAGACTATTGACCACAATAATACAGAGGTACATAGATACATTGACAGACTATAAGACAGACAAGTGGCAAATCAAAATCAATCCATAGAAGACTGAGGCTATATTGTTTACAAAGAGCCGTAAGTCCACTACACTGATTGACTTGGACAAAGTAAAGGTAATGAGCCCAGAACTTGAATGGTCCAAGAACGTCAAATACCTTGGAGTGACCTTGTATCATAGACTCAGCTTCACGAAACATACTAACATAAATCTCGGACAGGCTTACGGAATAATGAATCTACTGAGACCTCTCTTGAACCGATACTGTTGTAAGCCGCTCCAGAATAAAGCGCGACATCAAAGACTAACCTACGGAGACTACAGACTGTACAAAATAAAGCATTACGACTACTCAACAAATCAAGGAACCCACTGTCGAGACATTACTCTACAAAATATACGTATACATGAGCAGAACAGATTGACATACCGACGGTACTGTACCAAATTAAAAAACATACTGGAAACTTTTACCTGAAATTATACCAATTGTAACATCCAAGCCCTTGGCCAATATACGTCAGAAATATTTTGCTTTGGCAAATACGCCATGCTAAACAATAGCCTGATCGACCCATAGCGACTAATAAATATTTTTAGATATAACTCTGCCTTACCAAATCAAGGAAATGAACCAAGTATTGCCTATATATTGTCTTGCAATTTTTGTCCTTTCTTATACGTTGTTAGTTATTAACTTCCCGGATGAGTTATTGGAATCGTCCGAAAATCGAAATTAAGAATTTTTACATTTCTTCACGTTTTGAAGGTTTCTGAACATTTTGGCATAACTCAGAAAAAAATGATGTGTGTGTTTTTTTGTATAGCGAATGAAATGTTATTTATCCATTCCAGACTGGTCTTTTATCTGGGTATGTCGGACTCAATACCGCGTGGGTATAATACCGACTAAAACCTCCGCTTTGCCTCTGCCTCTGTTCTTGCTTCTGGTCTGCACGCTGAAAACCGCCGTCGGGCATTACTTCCTGGGGGAGGATCTAGTATGTTATCATTCTTGCACCTATTTTATACTTATCTTTTAAATGAGCGAAGTCATCGGTCAACGCTGTTCTGCCGTTCTTCTGTTCTCAACTTTTCAGGAATCAGTTGTTGATGCCTAGGTTGGTAAATTGTTCGTATTTCCTATGCTAAGACTAATTATAAGAGAAGCAGAGTTCCTGAAATGACGCACACTGCTTCCTCCGATATTGTGCAAAATGCGCAACCAACACTTAAAGCACTCAGACGATATCTAGGTCCTGCCGATCTCCGAGATTTTTGAGTTGTGTGTGTATATTTGTGTGGATACAATTTTTCGTCCGATTAACCGATTTGAATTGTTCAAAAAACATTCGATTTCTATTGATAGGAAGATGTGCTGATTAGTTTTTGGCAAAGGCAGGTCCAGCCGTTTCGGAGATACGGAGCGAAGAATGCAGAAAATAGAAATCGAGTTACAGTATTTATAATAATCTATTTGAAAACATTTAATATTTCTCGAATTTTTTATTACGGTACGAAAATTTCCAGCAATTTGTCTTAAGGCACTATGCCATACTCAACTAGTTTTGGTATGCTTAAAAGAAAACACGGAGATGTTTTTTTTTGGAAAACTGCTAATAGTTTTTAGTAACTTCCCGAAGGAGAAGTTTATGTTTTCGTCAAAAAATCCGATTCGCTTATTTTATGTTTTCTCGACGTTTCAAGCCATTCTGAATCGAATGAGACCAATTTGGAAAAAGTATGTGTGTGTGTGAATAGATTTTTTGCCGTTAATCGATGTTTTCTCAAAAATGGCTGGACCGATTTCAAAAATTTAAAAGCCATTCGATGTATCTCAATGAGGACTAGCGTTTATCAATTTTGCTGCGCGACGATCAGCCAAGCCGTTTCTTTGTAAATAGTAGAAAAGTGAAAAAAATTTCGTCCACGTTTTAGCCCGCAGTTCTGAATCGATCTTGAAAATTCAAAAACCGTTTGAAAGATATTGATTGGGAATGATGAGTGCTGATGAGTTCTTGATAGAGATCGGTCGGGCCGTTTTCTTGTAATAAAGTGTTAAAAAAAATTTTTCGACGACCTTTATTATTATTTTTTTGACGGTATATACCATAGGTGGGGAAGCTGCGGCCTCCGGGAGGTTCTTGTGCTGCCCCTTGCCGTCTCTAGTACAAAATAGCAGAGTTACTTTCAAACAACCATTGTACATCAACGTCATGACAGTTCCGCGAAAAATCACACCAAAAACAGTTATATTGTAACATGACATCAGATTACTAGCCTGAAACACATACTCTTAGGCAGATACAAAATAGAGATGTAATATATTATATTAATATTATTTAATATAAGTAATATTTTCGATTTCGCAAGACATCGCCTATTATATGATTCAAGAAGTATTATAAAAAAATTAACAGTGCAAAAGAATCGTTAGCACCCGGGTTGAAGATTTTTATGCGTATCCGTAGTAAAATGATAAAAATTTATACTTCTCGCAACCAAAAGCAAATCCGCAGCTTTGGCGAAGATCGGAGCAACCAGATTTTATCTAGATATATTGGAAAAAGTTAACGTTACGTTTAATGCATTAATCATTTTTTTTGTTATGATAACTATTGTCATGAATGACAACAAGCAGGAATATTCATACCGAAAGTTCACAAATGAATTTAATCTGGTTTTTCCAGAGCCCGAAATTCTCTAAATTAACCTTTAATAACTTTAGATATTATTTTTGCAAAATAAAAATCTGTCAGTGAATTCAATGTTATAAGAAAAATATATAATTTTTTATTTCAAATAATTATGTAACAATAAGAATATGAATGTCAAATTCAAATCAAAAGACTTTAATATCATTTTTATATAAAAAATGAATGTTTAAATGAAATTAAAACGAACTATAATTCGATTTTATCGAAACGAAGTCCATTTTATCTCATTACATACGTTCGAACATACCAACTTTTTTTCCCAATCTTCAAGAAAAATGAATGAAATTCAGTTCGATTTCCTGCGACACCCAGAAATTTTACATCTCGACATTTATTGAAAATTCATTTTGTCATAAATTGCTCAGTTGCCAAGCAAAAAACAAAGCCAAACTAGTTGGTATTGGTATTTTGCCTTGAGGCAAGTTACATGAACTTCCCGATTTGTGTAAATAATCGACTTAATCCATGATAGATAAATTAATTTATGAGTAGTTAAAAGTATTCGAAGTGGATTTATTGAAAATCGAACACATCAACCCGGTCGGAGTGTTTTTTAAAAGCAAATTTTGAAAAATCAATTTTTATAATTGAGCCAGTTTTTTGTAGGATTTTAATTGTTTATCATGTTCATTAAGACCAAGTACTCTATCGTTATACCAAGTAAATCGTCTCATTTTAATTTAAACAAATGTCAAAAGAACTACTCATTTTCTCAAACTTTGCTAAATTTTTAAAACTAAACTATTTGTCGTAAGGTATTAATATTTCAGTAAGTTCAACAAGACCATGATATATAACGCCAAAAAGGTTCCGTGAAAATCGGCTTAATTTTTTTTTTCAACTGTTAATTACAAGAAAACGGCTCGGTAGATTTTCACCTAAAACTAATCAGTATCATTCCCAACTAATATCTTTCGAACAGTTTTTGATTTTTTAATCGATTCGGTAGTATCAGCACAAATGTGGACAAAAGTTTAACACTTTTTTCCAAATAACAAAGAAACGGCTCGGCCGATCGTCGCACAAAACTGAGAAAAAATAATCCTCATCGAGATACATCAAATGGTTGTTAAATTTCTGAAATCGGTTCAGGCGTTTTTGAGCAAACCTCGATGGAAGTTCTAATTTTGACAAATGCCAAAAAGGCCACACTAATTTTTGCAAACTTTGACGAATTTTTAAAGCTAAACGAGTTGTCGTGGGTCCGTAATATTTTTGTATGATCTAGAAGACTATGGTATCTACCGTCAAAAAAATAATAATAATAATCGTCAAATATTTTTTTTAAAAAACTTTATTACAAGAAAACGGCCCGGCCGATCTTTACCAAAAACTAATCAGCACGATTTCCAACCAATATCTATCGAACGGTTTTTGAATTTTCAAAATCTATTCAGAATTTCGGGCTAAAACATGGAAGAAAAAATTTTCACTTTTCTGCGATTTAGAAAGAAACGGCCCAGCCGATCATCGCACGAATCTCAGAAACGCTAGTCCTCATCGAGATACATCAAATGGCTTTAAAATTTTTCAAATCGGTCCATCCGTTTTGGAGAAAACGTCGATTTACGGCAACAAATCTGTTCACACTCACACACACACACATACACATACTTTTTCCAAATTTGGTCTCATTCGATTCAGAATGGCTTGAAACGTCGAGAAAACATAAAATTGGCGAGTCGGATTTTTTGATGAAAACATTAACTTCTCCTTCGGGAAGTTAATAATTTCACGAAAGTCACTTTTTTAGGTCAATCAGCTTATGCGGCCTCTTTCATTGCTGCCTAATTTAAGTGCGGCCTCTAATGGTAAAAGGTTCCCCACCTCTGTATACATTAAGCTTTATTACCTCAGTGAGAGGGGGATCTTCCTTCATAGCGGTTGTAGCAAATCCGCGTTTGATGGTCCAACGTAACACGAAACGCTGCATTTCTGAAAAATATATTAAAATAAATATTAATTTCAATCTTAACACTGTTTGATATTTTTGCATTATGCTATCGTATCTACTGTATAAATTTATCAATCTTTGATTTTATCAAATTGATAAATTTTAATTTTTTCAATCTTTATGATAATATTAAAATAGTTATCTTCATTCATGAGAAAAATCATACCTAAGGTTATTTGTAACAAAATCTTATGTAACAATATGACCCAAGTTATGATGTATATTATTGCTCTTGTGGCCTGCACTACGAAAATTATCAATCAAATCTAAATAGTGAACTAACCAGCTTCCTGTTCCTCAAATCTGCCCAAAGAGAAGGCCAAGGGTAAATCAATAAAAATTTAATTCGAATGTATATAAAATTTAAAACTAATCTAAAATAAAAACGCAAACCGAAATTTTATGATAGATCAATATTGTATTACCTATCAAAAATGACGGACCTGCTCAGTTCTGTTTACTGCGTCTACCTGCGGGATAGTAACTATGATATGATTAACATGTCGAATGGAGTGAGCGAAATATTTCAATAACTTATATTTATTCATATATAAGCTTAATTTGAGTTTATTCATGTTTTTTATTCGATTTCGGGAATTTTCGACGGTATATCACTAATTATTTTCTATTTATTAAAATCAAATAAAAATATAGAAGGTTATATATACGAATTTTAAAAAAATCTCTAAAACTGATCATCAGGGCTCGTTTAAGAAAATGTAAAGATAGCAATGTCACCCGATTTAAGGCAATTGTTGATTATACATCTTTTGCCATCTACTTCAAAATAGTATCAGTAAAAAAAACTACACTTTACTTCCTTTTGAGATAATGATGGTAATGTTGAAACTGTTTTTCCTGTACCTTATACAATAAATTTATGGGCCAAAAACACTCTAACAATAAGTCTAAAAGAAGACACTATAAAGTAGGTCCAACACTACAAAGGTCCAATTTGTCTTAAAACATCTAGCTATTTCATCGTTGTAAAAATGTGTAGCAAAAAAGTTCAATGTTTTATTTTTAATTTTCAAAGGATTTTACAAAATGATATTAGGTGCGCAACTAAGTTCTCGCTGTTTGTCAGTATATGGCTTTAGCAGTAAGGGTTGGTCGATTTTGACAAATCTAAAACGTCATAAACCAAGCTTAGACATATGGCAAACAAACTAATGCTACACATAAGTGATTTCGTTTTTGCATAATATACTTCTGATCAAGTGAAAATGTCTAATGTTATCCCAAACAATCGTCATTTGCGGGAAGTGTTGATTTTCTTCTTTCATTCGCAAAAAACGGCAGCTCAAGTGCATCGAGAATGCTACTCTGAGCGAAACAACATGCCGTGAGGCGTTTTGTCGCTTCAAAGACGGTGATTTTGATGTTGACGACCGCCCTCGTGAAGGAAGGTGCAAAATCTTCCAAGACGCTAAATTGAAGGCCTTACTCGAAGAGGATTCGTGCCAAACTCGAAGAGGATTCGTGCCAAACTCAAAAAGAGCTTGCTTCAGAATTAGAAGTTACCCGTCAAGCCATTTCCGAACTATTGCATGCGTTGAGAATGATTCAGAAGCAAAAAACTTGGGTTTCTTCAAGGAACTTCCTTGTGAGTTGAAGTCATGAGACGTCGAGCGTCGTTTTTTCGCCTGTGAACAACTTCTCCAGCGGCGAGAAAGGAAAGGTTTCTTCATAGCATCGTGACAGGAGATGAAAATGAATACATTACAGCAATCCAAAGAGAAAAAAATCTTGGCTCGGTCGAATATTCACTGTGAAGGTTTACTTTGCATATGGTGGGACCAGGTCAGTGTAATTTATTATCAGCTGTTGAAACGAGAACGAAACCATCACTGAAGAACGGTATCGAACTCAATAGATGCAATTTAGCCGAGCACTGCGCGAAAAACGGCTACAATACGAGCAGAGTGATTTTACTGCATGGCAACACTCGGCTTCACGTTTCCAAGCCTGTTAAAACCTACTTATGAACGCTCAAATGGCAATCCTACCCCACCCGCTATATTCCCCAGATATTGTACTGATGTCCGTTTTTTACTTGTTCCGTTCGATGGCACATGGCCTGGCTGATCAGCAGTTCAACTTATACGAAGACATCAGAAAATGACTTGATTCGTGGATAGCCTCAAAAGTCTACTACTTCTGCCATCAAGGTATTCGAGCTCTGCCAGAAAAATGGACAAAATATGTGTCTAGCGATGGGCAATAGTTTGAATGAATCAGATGTGATAGTTTTTTTATAATAAAGTTACATTTTCATCGAAAAACAGCAAGAACTTAGTTGCGCACTTAATAGCTACATTAGACGACCAATTAATATTTTAATTTTATTTTATTTTATTTAACAATTAAAATTTTATGGGTATATTTTTTACAGAGGTAACCTTGATCTAGTACTTTGTCAAGAATATCCATCTGTAAAGCTGCAATAACTATTTGTTAACTTCCGTAGGGTATGTTATAGTAATCGTCCAAAAATCGAAAATAAAATTTTTTGCATATCTTCACGTTTTGAAGGTTTCTGAACATTTTTGCATACCTTAGATAAAATGGATGTGTGTGTGAATACAATTTTTTGTCCACAATCTCGAGCACATGGATCAACCAATTTGAATCATTCAAAAAGCAGTCGATTCGCGGAGCAAATAGGAAATTGAAGATTTATGAAGAAACTGTTGAATCTAATCTTATAAATGTTGAATCTACATCTTATAAAACAAATATGAAATTATATTAAAGTCTTGTTTACTAAACAAAAGTGCTCGGAAGAAAATACTTTTGTTATAGATTTTCAAACATTGCCGTTTATCTCCCAATAGCAATGTCTGGTTGGCTAGTTATACATCTTTTTTCCTTCAAATTCAAATATTATCGTTAAAAAATTAATAACTTTACTTGTTTTTGAGATATCGCTCTACTCTGTATATATTTATACATTTATATTTATGTATGCAGACGTACACATAAATATCATTCAAATAATAAAAACTAAAACTTATCGAAACTTTGGCGTTTGTGATAACCCTTCTTTATGATAGGCTATTTGATAATTTTAACGATTTTTTAGCTATTACTATAACTTACCCTTCGGGAAGTTATGTATCTTTATAGTTATATATAGTTATATATCTACTTGTTATATATACTTATATATATTATATATACTTGTTATATATCTTTCGAAGGTTTTTGAGCATTTTGGCATACCGTAGAAAACTTCGATTTATATTTTCGTGTGTGTTTATGTATATTGTAGACGATATCGTGAATACCGATCAACCTATTTGAATGATTCCAAAAACATTCGATTCATATTGATAGGGAGACATGCTAATTAGTCTTTGGCAAAGGCAGGTTCAGTAATATGGAGGATATACCGGGCAAAAAGTACCAAAGATAATACATTTTTAAGATAACAGAGTGCCCGATTTGAATTATTCAAAAAACATTATATTCCTTTTGACGAAATGAAGAACTGATTGAATTTTTGGAAGGCAGGTCAAGCGGTTTCCTGGGATCCAATGACAAAAGTAAAAAAATGCCACTTGGTGGACAAAAATGATCATTAGACATATGCACATCAAATTATCAGATTTTATAAAAATTTTAATATTAGGCACAAATTTTATTTACATTACATACAGGGTTTCGTTTCTTTCCCGTTTCTTTGTAATTTGAAAAAAAGTGTTGAACTTTTCGTCCACATTTAAGCTCATCCTACCGAACCGATTTTAAAAAATCAAAAACTGTTCGAAAGATATTAGTTGGGAATGATGCTGATTAATTTTAGGTGAAAATCTACCGAGCCGTTTTCTTGTAATTTAACTGTTGAAAAAAAGTGTTAAATTTTCGTCCACATTTAAGCTCATCCTACCGAACCGATTTTAGAAAATCAAAACTGTTCGAAAGATATCATTTGGGAATGATGCTGATTAACTTTAGGTGAAACTCTACCGAGCCGTTTCTTGTAATAAATGTTGAAAAAAAGTGTTAAATTTTCGTCCACATTTAAGCTCATCCTACCGAACCGATTTTGAAAAATCAAAAACTGTTCGAAAGATATTAGATGGGAATGGTACTGATTAATTTTAGGTGAAAATCTACCGAGCCGTTTTCTTGTAATAACTGTTAAAAAAAAATTTAAGCCGTTTTTCATGAACTTTTTTTGGCGATATACATCATGGTCTTATAGAACTTACTGTAATATTACGGCCTTACAACAAGTAGTTTAATTTTAAAAATTTGCTAAAATTATTATCGTTTTTTTTTAAAGTAGGATTGATGAAGTATATTATTTACACATTTTTTTGATCAAGTCGATTATTTACACATATCGGGAAGTTCATGTAATTTGCCTCAAGGCTAAATACCAAACCAACTAGTTTAAATCATTAAATAATAACAAGGACTGCGTCGTACATGATATATGAAATTTTGTGTACGGTAAGCTCCTGCTATTTTCCTCAAGGCACTAATATGCCATGAACCACTAGTTTTCAGTATTAGATTGCAATATTATAATTTTTTCTCATTTCTCAGTTCATTTTACAAATAAAATGAGGTTTTACAAAATGCAATAGGCTGAGAAATTCTGATTAAAAATTGTTATAAATCAACAAGCAAGCAAATAAATGACGCGCAAAGTAAAATTTTAATATCGCATGACGCATCATTATATGGACGTGATTGAAGAATCTCAGTATCTCGAGGATTCTGCGCTGCTAAGCGTCGCCCACCGTCGCAATGAAATAACACAAAAACGATTCGTTCTGATCAAATACGAGAGAAACAAAAGAAGCTACCCGAACTGTGTGCGCCTGTCACTAAAGGCGCGCAGGCGCCCCCTTCGCCAATGGACGGGCTTCCGTCGCGACACCGGCGCCGTGCGATTATGTTCTCTGACCTTAGAGACCTGCGTTTTAACACCGGCTTGATTATATTATAGTATAACTTGCTACATG